GGTAAATTGGCCACCGTAACGATTACAAAAGCTGACGTTTCGAGCGTTAGCCCTTCTAACGCTCGAAACGTCAGCTTTTATAATCGTTACGGTGGCCAATTTACTATTTCAACTTTGTTGATATATCCCCATTATCGAGTTACAATAAGTTTTAAACTTCCCTCCGATTGGTTGTGTGGATAGCGCGAGTTTTTTAGACCAATTACAGAGTTCATTGAGGCAAAATCAACGAAGTCCCAGACCTCTTTCGACACTCAACTGCACTGTGGCTTTCTTTTCATTTTCTTTCAATCACATTTTCACAACTAAAATAAATTTAAGTACTTTCCTGCCTTTTTTTTTAAGATTATCGAGTTGGCAGCTCAGATGGCTGGAGCGCCTTATACAATTTCAACGCCACAAAAGCTGGAACGGCTTGGCAACCGAGATTTGCCATTTATGGAGATTTAGGAGTAGACAACGCCCAGTCTCTCTCCAAGCTACAGAAAGAGGTTCAGGGAGGGCGATACGATGCCGTTTTGCACGTTGGTAAGAACATCTACTTGATGAACGATCTTTTAAACTAAAGTACATACTGGATTAGACCTGAATTCGAAGCTAAAAGCTAAGAGAGGATTTGTAACAGTGCGACAACCCCAAAATTCTCTTTTATATCCGATAGTGCTATAGCATACGTGCAGAAGCACTACTTCCCCCCCCCTCCTTTACTCACTTACCTGCTGTCAACTTTCACTGTTTCTTTCAGACTAGTTGTGTCTATTTTTAATTATCTGGTTATTCCTTTTCTTTCTGATGCAGGTGACTTTGCTTACAATATGGAATCAGTGAGTTGAATAAAATAGTCGTTTTTGTTATCGTATGCTTTTAATGTTACTTTTCCTTTCTTTTTTAATTTTTTTCCCTCGTTTTCCATTTGTGTTTTCTGCCTCTGTTGTAAAGCATGACTAATAACAATGCGAACTATGTATATAATCCATGATCTACTTCGCAGGATAATTCACAAGTTGGAGATAGATTTATGAATCAAATAGAGCCGATGGCCGCGTATGTTCCTTATATGACATGCCCTGGAAACCACGAGCAAGCTTGGTAATTTTCCTCCTTTACAGCACGCATGATCAAATTCCCCATTTCAAAAACGAGTGGGGGAGTGGGTCGAGTTTCACGCGCAAGTTTGTCTGGGGTCGTTACTCGGGACACAAATCTTTCTTTACCATAGATTTGTGTCTAGAGTAACGATCCCAGATTAACTTGCGCGGCGAACTCGACCCACTTCCCTACTCGTTTTTGAAATCAGAAGGCAGTTTAAAAGGAGAATTGGGGAGTTGATAAAGTCTGTGAGCTTTTAGTGGGCACCAGGGAAATGCGGAGTCCTAGGGATTGGTGTGCAAGATTGTGGATCAAACGATCCTGGTTTGAGAACTGGCTGCCTCGTGGTGGGCAACACAGCGGTCAAACGTCTGCGCATGTACGAACCTTGTAAGGACCACTTGGTGGGCTTTCAACTGAGTTGTCAGAACCAAGTTGTCTCACAAAATTTACAAACAACAACATAAGCAAGTGACTCACGTTTTTTTTAAAAGCGTGTTAGTTTTTTCGGTAAAGCTCAAAACAGAATGATAAATCAACAGGATACCTGTACTTGAATAAACTTTGTGTTCAATCTCTCAAGTTTTCCTTTTCCCTACTTTTGTTTGCTTTACAGATTTTGAGTGAACGTTTGAATTTTCTTTCGCTTATTTTGCGAGATAGAAGTTGTTTCTTATTTTTTTTCCGTTGAAATTTTGCGCGGGAAATTGCGCGGCCGGCCAGAATCGATCCCCTCTCGCATGCGCGACTTTTGGCAGCTATGTTATCGTGAGCAAGGTACTTCTCCTCATCTTAGGTTACAAATAGATACCAGAACTCTAAAGGAATCTTGACTAATTACTGATGGGAGAGGGGGACGGGTTTCCAGCTATGGACTTGTATCTTATCCATGGAAATTGAGATAAGCTCTAGCTTATTAGGGGCTTAACAGCTAGGCTTGGAAGACCATCAGTATGCATATTCTCCACACTCTTCTCACGGTGATCTCACGAGGACGATTTCTATCAAGAGCTTCAGTCTTTGGTTGGTGATCACCTCATTCATTCAAATGACCAAATGATTAATTCAGGGATGATACCACATAGAGGGATCAGATGGTAGTCACTCTTGGAGGTCAATTTGTCAGCAAAAAGGTTTCAATTGGTGGGACAATATTGCATGGTTATTAAAGATGTTCATCATTCTGAAGAAAGTTAACACCCACATCAATGTCAAACACTGGGCTGTTTAACCTGAGGTCCACTGTTTCTAATCACAATCACAATTTTTGTTCATATTTTAAGTAAATTGTTGGTTAATTTTCAATTACATGCAGTGACCCTGACATGACCATATACTATGGAATCTTTGGTTGTTTAATGAAAAATGAAGAGATCTTGCTAGAGTTTGTTGAGGGATTTTATAATAAATCACAAAGATCTCAAAGGTCTTTGCATAGGATCTATATCACAAAGTAACCATTTTCTTCTCAAAAAAAGTACCCCTGAGAGTGCCACAATAGTAGAGTTATTGGTGTTACCAAGAGTACACTAACCTGTACTGACAGATCTGTACAGTTCATTTATGGCTAAAGGAAACTTTTCCTGCAATTGCTTGACAATATCTCTGTCCCTATCTGTGGCTCTTCCAGCTCTGGGATCCAAGTTAACTGTGTCCAGAAGTATTGTTCCTAGCAACAGGCCGGACATTTGCCCATCTATTAAATCTAAAGCCAACAATTTCTCAGCCACAAGTGTGCAGCAAGATCCAACAGGCTCAATGTTTTTTCTTACTTTCAAATTAGCTGGCCATTGGTCTTTATGATGGTCTACAAGAAAAATACAAAGCAGATGTTACTAAATGGAGGGAGAGTAACATTTACAAAGACATGACAGACCATGTACAAAATGAAGCAAGAAAATATTGAGAGAGTTACAAATTACAAAGGTCGATGCAAAAAAAGTGTGCTTGTGTTGGATACACTCCATAAAGACTCATTGCTGCACTCATTCACTTTATTCGCTTAGGTTCATGTAAAGGAAAAGGTCAACTGAAAATAGATCACAAAATGCTAACTGATTCGGTGTACTTAAAATGTAACAGGATATTGAAAAGAAAAACGATATAAAACTAATTTACATACCTACATTTACAGCTTTATTCCTTGAGAGGATATCCAAACATGTGTGTTCACTTAATGTACTAATTGATTACTAATCATGTTTCACATATTGTAATATGATCGATAAAGATTATGACGATATGGTAACAAAAAGGTCAATCACACTAACCAAGGATTTCAAAGACAGCAACATCCAAGTGTTTCTGTGCTTTTGCTAAAATGTTATGATCCACTAAAATAAGTTGCAGTTTCCCAGTTTCCAGTAGGTTTTCCAAGTCAACATCGTCTACAAATATGAAGAAACTTGAATCAAGTAGATATCTCCTGAATAGAAACACTGCTTCTGTTCTCAAGCAAAAGTCTTCCTTAGGTATGTTGAAGACAGGAATAATGGCTGCTGGCTTCCCTGGAACACTGAGAAGTGTCTTTCCATGAAGAACAAAATATATAAAAGTAAAATCTTGAAACAGTCTTTAATGACTACTGGTACTAGATTAAATGTCAACAAACAGCAAGTTAGTACCAAGTTTCTAATAATGTTGAGCATTATCTTACAGTTTGGTTCAGTTTTATAGCATGTCATGTATAATTTGCAGCTTTACATCACAGTTGATTCTAGACAATTCCTTATATATTTATACTAAATAATGCCTATCATGAAACTATTCTGATGAAATCTTAGCACTTTAGCTTTGAATGCTAAAAGTATTCTCCTTAATAAAATCATTGTAAATTGTGGAGGCACGGTGGCCTCATGGTTGGTGCGCTTGACTCCAGATCGAGTGGTTCGGGTTCATGCCCCGGCCAGGACATTGTGTTGTGTTCTTAGGCAAGACACTTTACTCTCACAGTGCCTCTCTTCACCCAGGTGTATAAATGGGTACTGGCAATTTAATGTGGGGGGTAACCCTGCGATGGACTGGCATCCCATCCAGGGGGGAGTAGAAATACTCCTAGTCGCTTCATGCTACAGAAACCGGAGTTAAGCACCAGCCTAATGGGCCACCAGGCTCGTAAACAGACTTTACCTTATCATTGTAAATTGATTAGAGGGCCGATTTAAATTTTTTTATTATACAGATACTGATGAAATACTAGGACTTTTCCTTTTACTT